GTACGTATTAGTATAAATATTTTGAAATTTTGAGATGGAAGCCGGAATTTCGAGATGAACGTTGAATTTTTTCGATGAACGTCAAAACCTCGAGATGCAAGTTAAACGAATGAAAAAATCAGTGCTTTTTCAACGCTCATATAGGGGCATTCCAATTATTTCGATGGCGTTGCGAGTGACGAACAAAATCCAATGTTCAATAAAAATTAACAGTATGAACGATGAGGTTAATCTAGCGAATATACAAGCGCTAAGATCGAGTGCATGCTTCAATAAAATGTATGACTTGTATACTTTCCACCAATATGATGAATGGAAAATATTCTTCAAATAGAAGGTTTTTATTTGAGTACCTAAGTACTCATTATAGAAATAAACTGTCACAACCGGTCACAACTCAGTTATTTTGTAAAAAAACGACAAATCCTTATGAAATTTTGCACATTCACATTGCACCGAATATCAAGGGTATAGTCCGAATTCTTCAAAAGTCGGACAATATCATCCCAAAAAATTCTTCAATTTCGACATCTCTGCACTGGCCAGTTACTATGGTTAAGCGGGATTTAAAGATTGAAGCGCAGCCGCTGCCGCTGCAGTTGCAGACGCCGTAGCAGTTCTGGAAAAATGAGTCAATTTTCACTTCATTCCTAGGACCAACAGTTCTTCTTCATCGATGGATTTCTTTCTAATTGTATAGATGGGGAGAGCTCTCTACCAAATTTAGGAATACTCCTATATCAATTTTCTCCATTTTCACTACAAACATTCAACAACTGAGAACCACATTTGAATAAAAATATAACATAACCTCTAGACTCTCATCATCATCATCAATCAATGTTGCCGGGGTAGTAACCAGTTGGGACAAACTCCCACACCCCTCTCACAAGACTCCTATAGGGGATGACTGCCGGTCACCTATCTTTCGACTTATAATACCGACAGCACCCATTATACCAATGGTGAGGCCGTCTGATAAAACCTCGGATAAAAGAGACTACTGGCAGAGCCAGTGTCAGTTCCCGAGCAGAAACGCTGTTCACCTGCCGAGGCAGGCAAGATATCCTCCCACTTGACCCATAGTGGGATTCTTCTTCATCTCCTCTACCGTAGTCCGGTGGTGTTTTTTTGGAAACTGCTGCCCACTGGAGTCCAACCCAATTGGTGAGGCATCAGGCCGTATGTACGACCTAATGGGGCTATCCTCATCACCCCAGGTACCCATGTCAACAAGATTCCTCTTGTTACGTTTAATGGGTCGCCGTCGCAAGAGGCTTTGGCCTGATTGCTACTCATGTTGACAAAAATCTTCTCGTCCCGTTGAATGAGTGATCGTTCGAGGACTTTCACACGTTCCTCTACCTCGTTTACAGGAGAGGACCCGGCTTTGCCTACGATGACTGGCGGTATGATCGCTTGGGGCTGCCCCCTCCCTGTCGAACTAAGGCACAAGGTAGAGGTACACCAAAGTTCCAGTTTTCGCTAGCCCAGCTACCCGCATGTTGACCGGAATCCTCCAGTCCCGTTTGATGAGTGTCCGTTCGCGGCCTTTTAATACACGTACCGCTACCATGACAAGAGTGGGGACCTCAAGCTTTTGACCAGTAATATCTGGAGTCACCTGGGGCGACCCCCACCCCGACGCTGTGAGTACATGGTGGGCCCACGGCCAAGGATCTCTAGACTCTAGACTCTAGTAAATTTTTTGACACAGAAACACAGAACTGGAAATGTCAGCTCCAAGATCATTTTGTTCCATGTCATTCGCCCGCTGCCGCCGCCGCCGCCGCCGAAGATGAAAGTTGGTCACATAGACCTAACTTCGGGCAGCAGTGGCATGTTTACCTACACTTTCAAAGTTTGAACGGCGGCTGCAACCGCAGCGGCAGCGGCAGCGCCTCAATCTATATATCCCGCTTAATTATTGAAAATGAGGAAAGTTTATTGTGAGTTATTCTTGAAATTTCAAATGATACTCCTCCATCATTTCGACTATCTATGGTTTGAGTTATGGCACTTTAGAAGCAGGGGTGCGATATGATGAAGTTGTTATCGACACGTGAATCTGATTTCAAAGGACCGGTGAACTCCGTGATTTTCAGTAATGGTGTTATTGGTGTTGGAAGTTATCTCTGCATGTATATTATGCACCTGTTGCTCACAATGTCGAGTTAATTATTAATGGATATAATCCGATATAATCGGTAAGGTAGATAAAGTAGTAAAAAGTTTCATGTGGGAATATTTTGAACAAGATGTTGGTTTCATGGAATTAAATACATATTTTGTTTATTTCATCCCAATTTTATGTGAGCAAAAGAGTGCCTATACCCCGAGGGCTACCCCAAGTTTGGAGAGAGTTTTTTATACAAACCCGTTCCCATTTTTTTTCGAAAAATTTACGCTTTCTCACCATACAATCAATAGCTTCTAACTGATAAAGTCCGTCAACATTGCAAAAGTCTTTGATACTTCTGGTGCTTCTGACCTCGCTGAGAGCAAACGCTCATGCATTGGACTGTTAACCTCTCATCAAATATTTTGAAAATTTCAATATCTTCCAAAATGATTATTTCTTCGACACAACTGACTTTCATTAGGAAATGTTTTTTCGTGTTTTATTACCCATTTCTTTTATCGCTCCACTTTCGGATGTTAGTGAAAGTTAACCACAAATACTTTCATTATTCCAATTAAACAACGAAACTGTGAGCTGGTTATGTAAAGTTAGATAAACGATCTGGTATATGAAAATATATTGTTGAAAATGTTCTGATATAGAAAGAAATGCATAATTGCATAAACCGGCATAAACGTCTAAAACATTCAACATTCAACACAATACATGGATTATTGGTGAAAAGGCCATGTGAATGACATTATCATTATTGCGTTCTTGCACGAACTTCTGTTTCTATTACGAACAAGCCTTGAATGTTAAATGTAGGTTGTAGGTATAATAATTGAAATTGAAAGAATAACTTGTTGCGTTATCTATTCCTGGGCTTTTAATATCCTATTATCTCACTCGATATTCTATGCATTCGTGTTCAAATTTCGATTGGTAATAATTGCACTAAAGTGTAGCACGAGGTGTAGCACATTCATTTTGTTGAAAAGAAAGGCGTCCCATATTCGATGTCACGATTTAGATTGGTCTAATGAAATAATGAAAATGTATCACCTGATTCATAAAAAAATCGATGATTGAATTCAGTTAATACACACTAGTCGAAATTACGCCACAAACCTATTTTATATCGATCCATCTTTGTATAAATAGTATTCGACGAAATCATTTTTTATTTGAAATCATAAAAAATACTATAATTCTCCAAGAAATTAACGTACCACCAAAAAGTAGCCAGAAGTCGAGCCAGAAGTTCAGGAAACATTTTCGTCAAAGCTATACTTGTTAGATTTGTACGCTATTTGTTATGAATGACAGGTTATGTCCTTCTGATCATTGGTGTGCAAACTGTATTCGCATAAGAACCTCCTTTTCATGAATAACGGGTGTAGCAATTATAAAGGTTTTTTTTTCTTAAATTTAGACAATTTAAATCATCTAGATATGTGTTACAAAAGTCAAATAACCTATGAAAACCATCAATTTTATATAATTTGATCAAAATGAGCGTTAAACTCTCACTATGTTTCTTAACAAATTTGTTAGGTAATGCATGAAATGTGAACATACATAGGACTGACTCTTTACGCGTTCGGGTTTTTCCAGAATCGTCCTGGGACTGTTCTAGAACTATCCGAAACCAGTACCTGCTCTCGAGCATGAACCGTTCTACGAGGGGTAAATCTCCAGGAAAAATGTGTACACCAGACTTCCAATGACCAGATACTTCCAAAGACTTCCAAAGACTTCCAAAGACTTTCAAATACTCCCAAAGACTTCCAAAGATATCCAAAGACTTCCAAAGACATCCAAAGACATCCAAAGACATCCAAAGACATCTAAAAACATCCAAAGACTTCCAAAGACATCCAAAGACTTCCAAAGAATTCCAAAGACTTCCAAAGACTTCCAACGGAGTGTACACCAGACTTCCAAGGAGATTTACCCCTCGCCGTTCTAGGATTATTTTTGGCGCATGCTCATTTAATTTAGTCACTATTTGGTTGATTCTGTCTGTTGTAGCGTAGCGTCATAATGATATATTTTTGTTTATTCAATTGAGAATTGCTCTTTTCACTATTTTCTCAATATTATGGAGTTAGTACAGTCATTTGATAGTAGGAGTTCTTCATCTCCAGGAAGCAGTGGTGAAGGAGTTCCTTGCTGAAGTTGCTGAAAATATTGTGCCTAATCTGATAATTCTTGAACTTTTGTTAGATAATCCGAAAACTGGAGGATCATCTAGGGGATACTTTGCCATTATATTCAGATACACAGTTCATTGAACATTTCAGGTGGGTGTCGAAATTCATGTAGGTACAAGGGACAAAACATATTGAAAATCTAGCTACGAATGCTATGATGGAATTTATTCACCATTTCTCCACAGAGGGCTTCCAGAGATAATGTGAATAGACTCAAAGGAGAGTTTGAAGCTTCAGAATATTATTCGAATAAAGATACAGGTTCCAAACCGAGTTCCAAACTATTGTTTTTGTCGCCAATTCTGAATAAAGGTTATGTTCTCAGAGATTCTCTTCTGCCGCGTTCGGGTTTCCATAATTTATGAACCATTCTGAAATAGTCCTAGGATTCGAAACGACTGCGCACTAGTTCTACGCAGTTCGAGAACGATTCTTGAACAGTTCTGAAATCGCAACCCGAATGAACCTACAGGAAGTTGAAATTGTAGTCCGAATAATATCAAAGAACTGAGGTAACTGAAATATCATTGGCTACTCTTATAAAAAAGATAAATATTCAAGCATCTTCCTTCGGCTGGCCACAACATGTGCAATGGCCACAAACGGTGCATCTGTCTTACCATCGATATGGTTTGCCACCTCTAATCTTTTGTGATTTCCAGGTCGATCGGCTAGCGTGATCACGTGCCCCGAGCACCTGCCGCCGCAGCCGCAGCCCAGCCGTCCCCAGAACGAGACAGACCTGCGCTTCACCATCTACCCGATCGGCCTCGCGATCAGCGTGATCTTCCTGGCCGCCACCCTGGCGGCGGGGGCGCTGATGCCCGCCAGCCACCACGTGCTGCACTGGCGCTGCCAGACCAACCACGTGACGTGCCTGCTGCTGGGCGACGTGCTCCTCTGCGTCACGCACCTATCGGGGCGGATTGACTTCTGGCCGTGCTTCATGATCGGTGAGTCGAATTGACCGAGTCCTTCAACTGGTGATAGAATATTCATTTTGCTATCAGAAATGTTGTTGACAAACTCAATAATGTACCTGCTACCTGCTTTTTCAAGATAGCGCCAAACTGACAAGCGCGCGAGCAATCTGTAGAACCATCTTCATTAAAATAATAGAAACTGAAATAGAATATTGTGCAACAAGTGGGAAAAATTCAACTTTTCTCACGAGTGTGAAAGTTTGTGGCACGAGCCTGAAGGGCGAGTGATGCAAAGACACGAGTGAGAATAGTTATTTGTTTAACTAGGCAGCAAAGTAGTAGATTGGCTGCGAGGCTAGGATTTCAGCTAAGGCAGTCAATCTACTTTGCTGCCGAGTTGAACATATAATTTTTTCTCCGATTGATCATATAATTTTTTCTCCGATTGTTCAAAATGATATAGGAGGATATTGTATTTGCAAATTATTACAATATTCACAATCTCTTTATTTTTCCTTTAGTGTTGAATTAAAATAAAATTTGATAGAAATCGCAGTTGTTGGAATGGTTGGTTGCTATGGAAATGTCCATAATAATTATAGTTTGACAATTCATGAAATTTCTGACAGTTGTGCGAAAAAATATCGGTATATTTAAATTATTATATAATGGACAGTGATAGCGACCTGGAAGTATACTTACTCCTCCAGAAATAAGGGAGGTGGCAAAAAATATAGAGTTGAATTTGTTGCCGGAGAAGTCTCGGATGAAATATGATGGAAATTATAAACGATTTATGGATTATTGATTTTGCTGACACATATCAATCAGCAAAGCAACCACTATGCTGCCTAGGCTGCAAAGTACCCACTTTGCTGCCTAGGCAGGAGAAGTAATACTTTGCTGATTGATATGTGTCAGCAAAATTAATATTTGCTGCCAATCGGATAAAAAAGTACTTTTCCCCACATGTAACAGACTCTACTTTTTCTACAACTGCAATTATCCAAAGAGTCCAAGTAATGTACCTAATTGGTATTCATTTTATAATGTGGCACTATGCCACATTGAATATTGTGACCAAAGAGTAGACGCCTTTCCTAGTTCCTCAAAGTATTTCAAAAAAGTAAACTTTCCGAAAAAGATTCTATTTCTGTATTTTTTTTTAGATTCCATGCATACTTTTTTCTAGAAATTTCCGTAAACAAATCCAACTTTCGCAGCTTTTTCCATTATCTCTGTCTCTGGCGGTGTATTTATCAAAATCGTCACATCTCGGTATATACCTCATATTATTTATTATGAATGGCTTGGATAATATTTGATGGAAAATGCGATTATTATCAAAAGCACTAATCAGAACTACCTTAAAGAATTTAAAAAACTTCTTCTGACAGTTGTGACAACTATTCAAAGCTGAACAGCTGCTAATTCAGTTTTGGTCGATTTTTGTTGATTATCCATGGAAATGTATGTGGTGTTGGCAAAGTGCCGTGAGAAAAAATATTTCTCACAGTATGAGCAATACATGGTTTTGAAGTAAGCTATGAGAAATCGCCTCGCTCACAAACTCACTCACCTCTCTCTCGCTTCTCTGGAACACCGTAGAAAAGTTGGCGATCTGGCTCTATTTTATAGATATGCTCATGGACGATATGCTCTTCTGAAATATCAACAATTGTTCCTCCCTTGGCAGTCCCCGCGAGATTAACCCGTCGAGCTGAGGCTCACTTTGGAGACCTGCAGAACATCCATTTCCGAAGACTCGTTCATCCAACAAACAGCCAGGCTCTGGAACACATTGCCAAGGGAGGTGTTCCTCGAGGCATATAACCTCCAGAAATTTGAGAAGAACACCAATTCCTACCTTAATTCCCTTGGTTCTCACGATGTTCTCTGAACATTACAGGATATCCCTTTTCGTGGGAACCAGAACATAAAAAAAATTCAAACAGAAGATTTCAAGATCCGTTGAGAGAATCTGCTGTTCCATTAATTTACAAAACAGACTATTGAAAAAAAATCCAATATCATCATCACAAGGAATGCAAAACAAAATTATCATAGAGAAAGAGGAATTGATTGCAAATCTAGCTACGTAATGAAATTGAAAATTTGAGAACGAAACCGAGGAAATCAAGTAAATTGCAACGTCATATATATATATCATTGAATGGCGTTTTCAATCGAGGAGAAATTTAAAAAGGGGACATTATGAATCTTCTAAAAGTTGAAACTAAAGAACATCACCAACTGAAACTATTCATTCATATTATTTCTCGGTATATTTATTGGACCCTGTACCTAATGTTTACTTTCCAGATAGGAGAGTTTTCTGAACCCTCCACATTGCCGTACACACACCTTAATCAACTCTCCAATTGCCATGCCGACACTGGCAATTATCCAAAGTGTACACTTCATCTCCAAACTCGTTAAGTTCTGCGTCGCGACCCCTCTTATTCAAACTTGGCAAATCTGAAATTGAACTTTTCAACTAGTCGAAGCGATGAAGAAAAAAGTCACCCCTCGCAAACAACCGAATATTATAGCAATAGTAAATAAGGGTAGGGGCAAAACGGTTCTATTATTCATCTATTTTGCATAGCGAGGGGATGAGATGGTCTTTGTACTTTCTGGCTGATAATTATGGCTCAATAATACATCACCGTAATGCTGCTTGACTGGTTGATGAAATTAAACTGGATTCGTGTTCTGATGACTACTAGATTGCTTGTTAAGGAGCCTTATCATCAATGAAAAGTTTGTACGATGTACCCACTTAGATGAAGAACCTATAGGGCCTGATGACCTTGGGTCATGTGGTCATGTGTCCAAAACTGGGACGGTGTTTTGATTTTGAAAGGAATTTTACAAGTCTCAACATCACATAGTTTCCAATTCGTGTTCTCTCCGATAGATATTTCAAAATTAAAATGAAGAATGTATTGAAATGATGCCATTGGCAGCCTGTAAAAAGTTTGTTTCGATTATAAATAGAACCTACACAAAATATGCACCCATAAAAAAATTCAGAGCTATATCTGTCAACAATATTGAAATACTCGAGATATTCGTAAAAAAATGTAGATTGCAACATTGCAACTTCCTAATCTTGATAACTCTAACCTGGAGTATCAGTCATTAAAACTTGTTCACCATGTATACACGATGCAGATCGAAGAAATTCCATCATTTCCTGATTGGCAAAATATTCCTTGAAATTAAATGAATGTCCCATATGATGTGTACCTCTCGGTGTGCCTCAAAGGTCCCTAGTGAAAAGATATATCCGAGGATATATCCGAGGATATATCCGAGGATTAATCCTTATTCATTCAAGGTGGCAACACTGTACGTTTCGTTTTTATTGGTTTTTATAAAGTTTTTATCTAGGCTACAGCCGAGTTGGTATTGTTGGTAATGAAATCACGAGTGAAATCATTGCAAAGACTTTTCGTAGTGTTAGCAAATGTTATAGGTTTTTGAAAAAATATTGCACTTCATCGCTGCATCGAAACATTATTTTAGTAGGTATGTATACATATAAATTATAAAATCTTAGTATAATTATACAATGCATTACGATATATTGTATATCTCTTTTTGTTGACGAGTATGTTGAATACGCAAAGCAGTTATCGATATTTATAGTGATTAGTTCTTTTTTCTCAACTATGACGCGGGAATATTGAGTTTAGTTTTTCTATTTGAGGAACAATGCACTATAAATAACCAGTCTACAATGCTGAATGACTAATCGAATATTTTGTGAGTGTATTCGAGTTGTTCTAATCTCGGTTTTATTTTTTCTGTGCAGATAATTTGGTCATGTTCCTAATAAGTTATGTGTTTCGCGATGTATTTCATGTTGACAGTGAACATTTTATACCCTATACACGGTGTACCAAGAAATTTCCCGATTTTTTTGTGCCGATATAGTATAGTACACCCTGAAACAAAATAGAATTAGAATAATTTTCATTTTTCGCATCTATTGCGTTGATTGCAACCGATTTGGTGAACTAAGTCTTAAACTTTCAGATCAGTGTGAAACCAGCCACTAGTTCCAGCCACGACTTCGCCTAATATTCAAGGCGCGCGCCATACCACCAATGGTCGTTCATTATTAATTTATATTCATGGCTGGCCATGCAATTACTAAAACCGCCAAAATATATCCGTGGATGAAACTATTTTCCATCAATGTATTCCTCTGAGGGTCCTTAATAATCTGTATTTATCACAATAATTTGTCGGACAAGAATTAATTTCACATACCCCTTCTTCGAATTTCGAAAAAAAAACTAACTTTTTCGAAATTCACGTGGATGGGAGTTTTTTAGGAATGTGTTCCTCTAATTGTACTTCCTAATGTGTTCATCTCACAATATTTTGTCGGGCGAGAATTAACCCCACAAGCCCCCTTTTTTGGAATTTCGAAAAAAAAAATCATAACTTTTTCAAAATACACGTGGATGGGAGTTTTTTATATGTATGTGTTCTTCTGATAGTACTTGATAATGTGTATATCTCACAATATTTTGTCGGGCAAAAATCAACCCGACAGGCCTCCCTTTTTCGAATTTTGGAAAAAATCATAACATTCTCAAAATACACGTGGATGGGAGTTTTCTTCTATAAACGTGTTCCTCTTATGGTACAAGTGGATGGATTCATAGAGATAAACTCCCATCCACGTGTATTTTGAAAAAGTTATGATTTTGTTTTCGAAATTCGAAAAAGGGAGGCCTGTGGGGTTAATTTTTGCCCGACAAAATATTGTGAGATATTCACATCATCAAGTACCATTGGAGGAACAGATTCATAGAAAAAAACTCTCATCCACGTGTATTTTGAAAAAGTTACGTTTTTTTTTTTGGAAACTCTGAAAGAGGGGGCTGTGAAGTTGATTCTAGTCCGACAAATTATCATGAGATACAGATTATTAAGGACCCAAACATTGATGGAAAATAGTTTCATCCACGGATATATTCTGAAGGTTTTAGTAATTTCATGGCCAGCCATGA